TATTCACTGAAAAATATGGCTACTGAAAATCTAGAAAGTGAAACGCTTAAATGCACCTCGAGTCTAAATTATTTGCGACGGAATCTGATTTGACTTTGTAAATAAAACGATGCTTATTTTATCATTGTACATTTCTTTGCCATGGAAAAATTGCATATTTGTCGAGTATAATTTATACCGCTTCAGCGAAACAACTTATTGTTAGTATAGTTTTTTCGCTCAAAAATCCGTTTTGTAAAAGCAAGTAGTCAAGTATCAATCACTAGAGAAATCTTGAGGATTTATCGAAAGCATTAATAGATCCCAATATACGATCAACCTTATCGATTACCATGTTTCGATAAGTGCAACGCAAAACGTTCCTAAACTTATCGCGATCACTTTGAAAACGGTCCTTCTATCCTTTTTCGCGCTCACCGACCCTCGAAATCTCGCGCACTTAAGCCCAAGCTTATATTGCGATTTTGTACATTACAATATCACAATTGTATGTTGACCGATAAATGGGTCGTCCCCCGTCTGCACATTTTCCCTTGAATGAAAAAAGAAGATCATGATTTTGCTCGGACTTTTGGCGTTTTTCTGCCGAGTTCTCTTTAAAGAGAGATCGTACCATGATTACACTCGATGTTATTTTCTTTTCCCAGAAACGAAGCAAATCTAATCAAGTGTTATACACGTCAAAACGCTTGAAGTATCTTCTAAAATGCATGCCTTCTTAATCAAGGATCGCCGTAGCAGTGACGATCGCTCATTTGAAAATCGCTTTTCGTCGATCCACGTTTTTCGGGACGACCCAACCGCACGTCGGCACGTTGCAATTATAAACTACATTATCAGCTATATTTGTGTGTGTGTATGTCTTATAATCACGACAATTGAATTGCGTTTTAAAGCCACGAGCTAGATACGCTCGGATTATTGTGCCCCTCTCTTTCTTTTTTTTTTGTTCTTTTCTCTCGATCGCGCCCAAAGCACTCTCGAGCTTCCGAGCGCGTCCGTATTGATAGTACTATCGAACTGTCAAAAATTTACGTTTAATTAATATTAAAGCGTGAAGAATACGGAGATGTTATGCCCTCTCTTATAAGAAAGAGCGAGAGAAAGAGACAGAGGGAAAGAAGGTGCTTCTCCTCTCTCTCTCTCTCTCTTTCTCTCTCTCCTTCTCTCTTATTCGCTCGCTTATTTATCATAATATTTTTATCCAACTATTAACATCATTATTCTCATAATTATCGTACTTAAAAGTTACTTCTGTTTTCTCTCTCTAAATTGGTTTATCATATATAATATACATATACATATGTGTACATACATACACAGACATGCGCGCGCACATACATACACACACACACATACACACATATGTATTGTATTGATTAGTGTTTTAAAATTAATAGTATCTATTGAATCATCATCACAGCTAATTTCTCATCGACTCTTCTAGTTAAACGATTGATTTTTTTTACTGTTCTGCTTCTTTCTCTTTCCAACCCCATCCGTCTCGTTCGTTATCCGCGTATTTTTTTTCGGTTGTACGTTTGCGCCGTAAAATCGATAAGAAAAAATCGAGCCTGGCGCCAACCATACAGACCTCTGGAAATGCCAATTACATGTGCGCGTGCTTTTCACAAGAATGTTCAATTCGTAATTCTCGCGTTCTCGACAAGAAATAAAACAAAAATTGTTACTACTATCGACCGCGATCGGACGATTCGCGCGTGCATATGTACATTAATTTTACAGAGGAAAATTTATACAATCGAAATTATACAATTTCTGTTTATACAGCTGATATTTACACATTATTATTCCGGGATCGTGAGACTGATTGGCATGCGCGTCTTTATAATAATAAATACGTATGTTTCCGCTTAATTTATCCTCTTTTTTCTCTCTTTCACCGGACGGCAGTGTTTAATTCGTTTCTCTCTCGCGCAATGAATCTACCGCGAATTCTGAGATCTTGACAACCTTGAAGCATACTGGTTCGAAGACTCTTATGGGCCATTGAATATCACAATGTGTTTCGAGACGCAGTTTCGCTTTTTTTACATCTAACGATCGGACTAAATGGCTAAATTGATTCGCCGGCTTTTGTAAGAGGTATGATCAGTATTCGCGAAAAATGTATAGATTCACGAAAAACAATAATCAGTATAAAAAAAAAGAATAAATTAAATGTCTTCAAAAAACGGCACGGATTTATAGATATTAGACGTTTAATATAATCGAGTTATGTATTAATATGTACAGTAACCGGATGTGCAATTTGTTTCGTTGAAAAACAAAGCATAAATTTAAGAGGGGCCCCGAGATGTTAACCAGTATTATTCCGTATGTCGTTGTAAAACTCGCGGAAGAATAAGACGAGAAACGAAAAACGAAAAAAAAAAAAGGGAATACATATAATGCAAAATGATTGCATTTTTATTACTATTATTTCTTTTAGTTCCTCGTAATCTACCACGTAATTAAATTTCGACGTGGTAATTTTATTTTCTTCGACTGATTCTCATGTAAAGACATGTATTTAGATTCATTATCGTCGTTTTGACGATAAACAAAATAAATTCCAAACGTGAAAGTGCGTCCCAATCATATAAAAATAATCTCTGGACTGGCAATTCTTCGCGCATATAAATCGAAGTCCAAAGGCAAAAGGAAACAAGTTCTAAACTTTCTCCTCGCGCGTATCCCGGGATATCGATTTTCTCTCTCGAGTCATTGAGCACGGCGCTTAACACCGAAAAAAAAAAAGATCTCACGTACAATCAAGTTTACAATCGACAAGTATCCGTTGTCTATCTGTATATAGAAATATATACTTCCTTTCAATAATCTCCGACATCATAAATCAAATCGATCGATTGTTAGCTCAACGCACGATTATGTGTTAACTGCTATAGATATCGCGCGCGCGCGTCATATTTTGCAGATTTTGTCTTACAAAACTATAAATATACGGAGCGAGCAATCGAAAAATCGAAATTGCATATTTTGATATCATTTCTTTATCTTTCTATTAATCTTGCATCCTCCTCATTTATGTGAGTCTATTTTTTCATATCTCACATTCACAACCGTTCCATAAACTCATCTTATGTAAGATTAATCGCTTATCGAAGAAAGAATTAACGTAAGAAGAAAAATAAATGTATATAAATAAATGTTGCAAGAAAATTATTGCAAGTTATCAGAAACTTAAAAAAAAAAAGAAAAAAGAATAACATTAATTAAAATACTACGTTAAATAATGTTGTTCAGTCTGTGGCTAGAAATAATTTTGCTTATTATGAAGAAAAAAAAAAAAAAAAAAGAAAAAAAATAGATGACACAAATTTTTTAAAAACTTAAATCACGATCGTATTCTCCACGCTGTTGTATCGTTAAGGCCTTATCTTACTACTATCATTGTTATTATTTACCCTTAATATTATTGTTATTGTGTATTATAATAGCTTAAGTCCATTTACTTGTCCAATATAGATAGAAGTGATGCGAGTTTGATATGACAATTGCGCCCGTAAAGTATTATAAACAACGAAAAACTTTAGTGCATCGTCCTATTTCCTAAACCTGTTAGCATAACAGAACTTTCCGTAAACTCGCACAAAGAACGCTTTAAGGACGGTTGAGTCAACGTCGGTTATTATTAAACCTTGTTCCGGCTTTTATCTATTTATGAATTTCCATCCGTTAATTGGGACGCAGTATTACTCTTTAACCGTTGTTATCAAGTCCTATTTCTCTGTTACAGCTATGATTACGATCTAAGAAAAGATAGACAATCACCTAATGAAACGTTAGTTAACCAAGGCTATTAGGTAACGGCGACGCTAATGTGTTCTCTTTCCCCTTAAAAAACTCTCGTCCTTCATGTCTAAAGTATCATACTAATATGTTAGTACTTGAATTTTACAAAAACAACAGAACGATCATCACGACAATCACATTAATAGTATTACATTAAGAGAGATTTATAACAAATTGAATCTATTATAAATCGATTATGATGAATAAGAAAAATATTTCGTCTTTGTAACGGTCGAATCTGACAATATTCCTAAGACGAGAAACGAAAAAAAAAAAAAAAAGGGAAAACATATAATGCAAAATGATTGCATTTTTATTACTATTATTTCTTTTAGTTCCTCGTAATCTACCACGTAATTAAATTTCGACGTGGTAATTTTATTTTCTTCGACTGATTCTCATGTAAAGACATGTATTTAGATTCATTATCGTCGTTTTGACGATAAACAAAATAAATTCCAAACGTGAAAGTGCGTCCCAATCATATAAAAATAATCTCTGGACTGGCAATTCTTCGCGCATATAAATCGAAGTCCAAAGGCAAAAGGAAACAAGTTCTAAACTTTCTCCTCGCGCGTATCCCGGGATATCGATTTTCTCTCTCGAGTCATTGAGCACGGCGCTTAACACCGAAAAAAAAAAAGATCTCACGTACAATCAAGTTTACAATCGACAAGTATCCGTTGTCTATCTGTATATAGAAATATATACTTCCTTTCAATAATCTCCGACATCATAAATCAAATCGATCGATTGTTAGCTCAACGCACGATTATGTGTTAACTGCTATAGATATCGCGCGCGCGCGTCATATTTTGCAGATTTTGTCTTACAAAACTATAAATATACGGAGCGAGCAATCGAAAAATCGAAATTGCATATTTTGATATCATTTCTTTATCTTTCTATTAATCTTGCATCCTCCTCATTTATGTGAGTCTATTTTTTCATATCTCACATTCACAACCGTTCCATAAACTCATCTTATGTAAGATTAATCGCTTATCGAAGAAAGAATTAACGTAAGAAGAAAAATAAATGTATATAAATAAATGTTGCAAGAAAATTATTGCAAGTTATCAGAAACTTAAAAAAAAAAAGAAAAAAGAATAACATTAATTAAAATACTACGTTAAATAATGTTGTTCAGTCTGTGGCTAGAAATAATTTTGCTTATTATGAAGAAAAAAAAAAAAAAGAAAAAAAATAGATGACACAAATTTTTTAAAAACTTAAATCACGATCGTATTCTCCACGCTGTTGTATCGTTAAGGCCTTATCTTACTACTATCATTGTTATTATTTACCCTTAATATTATTGTTATTGTGTATTATAATAGATTAAGTCCATTTACTTGTCCAATATAGATAGAAGTGATGCGAGTTTGATATGACAATTGCGCCCGTAAAGTATTATAAACAACGAAAAACTTTAGTGCATCGTCCTATTTCCTAAACCTGTTAGCATAACAGAACTTTCCGTAAACTCGCACAAAGAACGCTTTAAGGACGGTTGAGTCAACGTCGGTTATTATTAAACCTTGTTCCGGCTTTTATCTATTTATGAATTTCCATCCGTTAATTGGGACGCAGTATTACTCTTTAACCGTTGTTATCAAGTCCTATTTCTCTGTTACAGCTATGATTACGATCTAAGAAAAGATAGACAATCACCTAATGAAACGTTAGTTAACCAAGGCTATTAGGTAACGGCGACGCTAATGTGTTCTCTTTCCCCTTAAAAAACTCTCGTCCTTCATGTCTAAAGTATCATACTAATATGTTAGTACTTGAATTTTACAAAAACAACAGAACGATCATCACGACAATCACATTAATAGTATTACATTAAGAGAGATTTATAACAAATTGAATCTATTATAAATCGATTATGATGAATAAGAAAAATATTTCGTCTTTGTAACGGTCGAATCTGACAATATTCCTTATCTCGATTTGTCTGTCCATCTCTACTATCACTCTCCCTTGCTATAATAAAAATAAAATTTAAATTTATTTTACTTTAAATTTATGTGCAATTATATTAGTGATTTTATTGAAACATGCCGAGAAACGAGCACGAAAAATTTGATCAAAATTTGGATTTGATGCAATGTCGTAATGATTATTATAATATATCCGAAACGTTCATACAATCGAAGCATTCATTCGTAATCATTCATGAATCTTCGTCTATCATTCAGATTTTCTCTGTTGTATTGATCCTTTCTGTCTACTATGTCATTCACACATTTAACTACCACTCTCCTAATGTGCACTATGAAACTCAAAACTTACATCTTATATACTTATTTCACGTTTAACAGTGTAGCAGAATAGCAAAAAAATAAAAATATACCCAACAAAAAAAAAAACAAAAAGGAAAAATAAATTGAAACTAAAAAGGGCTACTCGAAATTAATCTGTACCAAAATGATAAAGAAACTGTTAATAAAGAAATATACTGATAACTATCATTAGTCGGGCGGCTATTAAACGAATAGTCATTTGTCCAGCATCTCCGTGCTATGAAACAGCAAATTGTACGCGCCGCGACGTTTCCAATGTTGTTGCTAGAATGATTAGAGTTTGACGAGATAAAAACACGCGCGGAAACACTGGGTGTCTTGAGAGCAATGCGAAACGCGAGCTTTCAAAGCTGCTTTGAAAAGAGTTCTCGCAAAGAGTTATCAGACATCTTTTCTTGTTTCTTTTCAACGCGTCGATATTGAAGCACATCTCGTATGACAAAATCGCGAAGGGCAACTTCGCTCGTCCGCTTGTCGTATCGTCAGACTGAGAATGTACTTTCTCTTTCTGTGTGTTCCGATGTTGTATAGATAATATATGTATGTACGTACATAGGGCTCTCCTTGTGTTGAAAGTTTAGCGGTATACGATAATCTAAAATACAGTATTACTTACATTTTGTCACAGCGTATGATGGCGCGTGATGAGAGTTCCAGAGAACGCAATATACATATATAATGCATGTATCTCTATAGCGCGCGCGCACGCGCGCGCATACACACACCACATCGATCGCGACATCGCATCGATGCATCGCGTCGTAATCCCGCCGTGTGTATAGTCTACGGTTAAAGTCTGTATGCTGGATGTGTATCTTAGCGTAAAGAACGGATTACGGTATCCACTCGCGGGATAAAATCGAAAAAACCGTGTGTACGACCTGCACACGGTGTCACCATCATCATCTGTCGTTATCATCGTTATTATTTTTATTATTCCCGTTATCCTCTTGGCCGATGACTTATCGACGATGATTTCCTACCGTACCTGATTCTCTAGAAGCTGACGGCCGCTTCTCTTCTTGAACGATGGTGGTGGACGCGTTGTTAGTTTTTGGATATCAAGCCTGAACTTTCAGCATTATACGTAGTTGCCTCGAATAGTCGCTCGCGTTGTTCGATTGATGACAGCCATCCATCAGTCCAGTCACCGCGCTCATCCAATGGCTTGGCGGTTTGGGCACGCTCGCGGGCGATGGTGTTTCGGAGAACTTAGCGCCCGCGTAGAAGCTGTTGTTGGTCGGGCTGCTGCTTGGACTGCGCTGCTCACAGCGTTGCTGCTGTTGTTGCGGCGAGTTCCTCGGACTTTTGGATGACGAGCTATACGGGCTGCAGCTCTGCCGGCCGTCTTTGGTGTTTTTGGCGGCGTGGCGACTGTTCTTGTAGAGGAATGGCGATGATTTACTGTTGGAACGATGATGCTGATGGTGATGATTGTACTGGTATTGATACCCGACCTTTGGCGAGGCCTGTCGGTCCACCTTGGCATTGTCTAACTTGGGCGCGGAATTCGTCATGGCTCGGATGTTTGTCTTTTTTTCCTCGTCTTCGTATCCTCGTCACTCACCCTCCTCACGAGACCGACCAATCCGTCGGCCTACAACAGGAAAAGAGGTTTATCGAAACATACGACTTGCATTTTTTATATCCTCTGATTTTTTTTATTTATAACAGGGTGTCTACTCAAATCTTGTGAAAAAATTCCCTGAAAATTTTCTTATCTTCCAGGTATTTTTAATTAAAAATTCCAGGTAAAGAAAATATTTCAAAGAACTCTTTTAATACAACTTTCCAAAATAAAATTTTTTATTGTATGCGTTTTCTATTGCATTTCCTCTTTTACTTATACGAAGAAAAAACACAAAGCTTCTCAAGTTTCAAATGCTACATTTGCAAATGTACCGAAAACCGAAACTGGATAGCTTTTGTAAGATGAATATTTTTCATTTGCATAACATTTTCATTTTTATCACTAAAAATTATAATAAAGGTGTATACAGCATATATTCAATATTTTGTTAAGATATTAAATATATAAACAGAGACAGAATACCCGATTGCATTATTGCCCGATTTTATTACCCGATTATTAAGACATTGAAACAGAGACACAGATATACATGTATATTTATAATGCGATATGAAACGAAATAATCCATCATATTGTAAACTTTATTCATTTCGACATTGTAACGAGTTCTTCTATAAGACATAATTTCAGCGTAAAAATATTTGTACGCTGACGATTTGCGTGTTTACATAACAATGAAAAGCGTTGTAACGATCCTCGATAAGACGTGCATTTATCTCTACGTAAACATTATGGACTGCAGCGTTTTATCGCAACAAAAAATGTGTACTTACGCTTATTAATGTGTTTAGGTAAGGTGCAAAGATAAAAATGTAAAATTTATATTACAACTCTATTATTATATATCGTAATAAGATATTATTTGAAGTTGCTATCTAACAATTTGCGATATGCGCAATAATTATTATTTCGTATTTCGAATACTTATATATTTATGTGTCTTTAAAAAAAAGAACATTTTTCTCAAAGCATTGTGATGCGTTTAAGATACTCTTCTCATTTTAAGGATACACATCTGGATGGATACTCTTCATAAGGACGAAATCAATTTCATATTTATTAGTTTCATTGTTAATTATCATCATAAAATAGAATTACAGTAAATACATTTATAGGCAAGCATCCAAGAAACCCAAGGAAGATCCCGAATCATAATAGAACGTAAAAAAGAAAAAAAAAAAAGAAGAAAAAAAGGCAAAAGGAATATGAGTACATGCAAAAATTTAAATAAACACTATTTTGTTGCGTTTATAGTTAATATGAAGCTGTTCAAACTTTGTTATTTTTCATAAATCTCAATGTTGTGTGAAAAATTTTGGCATAAATAATTATCATAAAAATTATTCAATCGTCGATTCGTTGATTCTCTATTTACGCTCATTGAGAATTAAGGAAAGCACTATAAAACAATATTTACAAGAGACATGATGGCTACAAGTTAAACCAAAACTTTACACCCATTGAGATTTATAGAAAGAATACAAAGATATTCGTATTAATAAAATATTGTTTACGTTATCAAGACCGAGACCGTGCACACATACACACACAGACACAATATTTGTTCTTATCTTATATCTACGCTTTAGAATGACTCGTTCTTTGTTACTTATCTTATTTCTACGTTTTAAAATGAGCCGCCTCCCCCCCACCCCCACCCCCTCTTGAGGCATCGGTTTCCTGGACGCATTTCAAGATTATTCTCCAGCGATATAGTATATACCATTCGAGAAACTATTATAAACGAGAGTATAGTAGAAAGTAGGTGCGTTTCTCTCACCGTTAATTTTCGCGGATTGCCTCTCGGAGGCGATATCCCACGTTCCTCGGCGTCAGTGCTCAGCAAGTTTTCCAACTGCGCAATAATCACAGTAGTCAGGGTAAAGCAATGGTGGGAACGACGACGATGACGACGACGACGATGATGACGATGCGAAGGAATAATATGCGGCGGGGCACTCCGAAAACCTGTTAGCGCAATGCTACCTCGCTTCGTGTTCCTCTTCTCTCGCGGTCCTCCCAGTGCGCGTTCCTCGCAAATTCGACCACATCCGGTGACCGTTCGCCACCTTAGCGTCTCGTTCCTCCTGCCTCTTTCCCGTCGCTTTCGCGCGGCCTATTCTCTGACACAGAGAACGCGCGCGTTCCCCTCGCTCGCCGAGCACAACAACGGCTTCTCTCTATCGCAAAATGGCGGACGCGAGTTGTTTGGCTTCGCGGTGGGCAAGAATCCCTGGCGCTGCCAGATCCCAGTTGCAAATATGCCGAGCGCGTAGCACCCGTCCTACCGAATTCCACCTCGCTAAGCGAAGTCCCGTTTCTCGTTACAGACGTATGTTACACACGCCCTGTTACGTCTCCGGCTCTCTCCGTATGCTCGCCCTGTTTTTTTTTTCTTCGTCCTCTCATGCGCCGTGTCGATCTCGTTTAACCCGCTGATTCTCTCTTCTCTCCGAAATCGCACACACAAATAACAGTCACTGCAACCGAGGAAAAACCAAACTCGTGCTCTCGTATATATCTACAACTCCCTACGACGATCCTCTAACACTACCTCTCGCCTTCCGCTGTCTGCAGTTTTATAGATCTCCTACTCCTTTGCTCGCAACGGAAAGATGGGAGTCCCCACTACCGTCCAGCCAATCTGCGCATGTCATTCCCCACCGATGAACTTCCGTACAATTCCGTGTTTACTGACGATAGAAAGTGTGTGTGCGCGTCGTGTTTTTAAGCGAATTTAATATCGAAGAGCAAGCACATATATACGCAGCGCGAACAATATCTCATGTTGATCGATGATTTTCTTTTTTACGATTTCGAACCCAGCGGGGCAAAATGACACAGACGTTTTTTTCTTTTTTTTTCCATTGACATTACGACGTTCGTATACTATGAAACTCCTAAGTATCGCTAAATAATCGATATTGTTCATAATGATCGGTGGGAGACGCGTACAGATAGATTCACACCGGCATAGTATATGCAATAATTAGAGATTTTCTTTACATTATATTTATTTATAAAGTGAAGATAGGTGCATAAATATGTTACTACGAATGAAAATATTGTTGTGCGCATGATCAGGTTAGAACAGGCTCGTAGTTTTCTACGATAGGGTTCGTCCGTCCGTCCAGCCGTCCATCCGTCGTACGTGAAATGTCAAAATGGCGTCTTCTCAGGACGCTTGGTATCTCTCGTTGCTGGGTTTGGCCGAGAACTTTCGCACGTCAAATCCACCAAATGTCAAATCGTGCATTCAGTGTCTACAGGCAGTTTTCCACTTCAAGCCACCGCCGCGCGTCGAGGCGCGCACTCATCTTCAGCTTGGCAACATCCTGCTCACGCACACGAAAAACATCGATTTGGCGCGATCTCACTTAGATCAAGCGGTTAGTCGTTATTTCGTTCGCACGATTGTGCGTCGAGATCGATGTGTTAATTTCTGTCATTTTCCTGTTTCATTCCTCTCTCCTAATTCAAACGACTCCTCGACTCCCAGACATTGTTTCTCTTTCGTTCTAACCTCTCCTTGCACTGTCGATAACATAACAAATATATATGTATAAGTGACTTGGAACCAGATCGATTGTACATTAATCAGCGTTAATTAGAACTGTCATCTCGAATTTACTAATGATTCTCGTTTATTCTCATTAGTGGCGACTGAGTCAGAACATAAATACGTTCGACGATGTGAAGTTTGAGGCAGCCAGTGTGGTTGCGGAACTGTACGAACAACAACAACAGCCAAATCTAAGTAAACCGATATTAAGGAAGGCGATAGAATTATCTCAGCACAATGTTTACTGGCATTGCAGGCTTATCTTTCAACTCGCAGTAAATTCAACAAAGATTATTTTGCATTTCTGGAAATAGTGTCTAGAAGTAGTGTTTCTAGAAAATGGTAATTTATGATTTATAGCAAATTCATGCCTCGGAGAAGGACTTTGTCGCAGCGAGCAGTCTACTTGCAGTGGGCGTGGATTATTCTCACATAAGCAACGCCAGTTACACCAGAGTACTCTTTCTTCTATCCCGGTGCATGCTCCTTTTAATAGACAAAAAATTCACAGAGGTTCATCCTCTTTTAAATTCAGCGGGACATCATGTAGAAAATTGGCAAGGTAGTCCACATCAAAAGGAATATCTGAAAGTCTACTTTTTAGTTCTCCAAGTATGTCACTACCTCATGGCAGGTCAGGTACGAATATACTTATGAGTATTATAATCTGTATATAGTAAATATAATATGTGACTATTATTTATAATGATATATTTGATTTTCTTATATGTTTTCAAATTAGGTGAAAAGTGTGAAACCTTGTTTAAAACAATTGCAACAAAGTATACAGACTATAATGTCTCCTAGTTGGCCGACTGATGACGTAGTTACAGGTTCCAACATAGGAGATATGTTTATATGGATGCCAAAAGATCATCTATATGTTTTGGTTTATTTAGTAACTGTCATGCATTCTATGCAAGCTGGATATATGGATAAAGCTCAGAAATATACCGATAAAGCCCTTACTCAAATTGAAAAACTGAAAAGTAAATATGCATTATATCTTTTGTTCCCTTGTATCAATTTAATGCTTGGCTTAAAAAAGTAAAAATTTTTATTATCTTACAGTTGTCGATAATAAGCCCATCTTGTCTGTATTTCAATTAATGCTTTTGGAGCATATAGTTATGTGTCGGCTTGTTATGGGAAATAAAAGCGTGGCTCTCGCGGAAATTTCTCAAGCTTGTCAACTTTGCAGGCGACAGCCTAGATTACTTCAAGGCCATAGACCGCAATTACATGCATTACTAGGTTTATATGCAATGTCTATGAATTGTATGGAAGCTGCAGAGGCTCAATTTACTGCTGCACTCAGAGTAAGAAAAAACTATGTGTTATCTATCTTTAATAAATTGTACAAGTTGATTTGTAAGGTCTTATTGTACTTAAAACTAATACTTTTCTTATATTTTTTTATTTTTATTGTTTTGGTTGCTGTGACAGATTGGACAACTTAATTTTAAATTAAGTTAATAAAGTATCTATATCTATATCAAATGCCACATTGTAAAAGAGATTATTTTATTTTCATTTCAGACATCACAAGAGAGGGAACTTTGGACATTCGCGAATTTGAATTTAGCAATAGTATATCTCAGAACAAAAAGAGACGCCGAACTAGGAGCATTATTAGAAAGGATAAATCCAGAATCTTTACCATCACATTCTCATTCCTTGAGGGCAGCTGCATATTATGTACAAGGACTCCAAGCCTTCTTTGGTGCTAGATACAATGAAGCAAAGTAAAATCTTTTTCTACATTTATTTTCATATCTTATAGATAATATATATAAAAATTTAATTTCTTGAAAAGTAGAGAAATGTAGATAAAACAATCTGGAGCAATATGTAAAACAATTTATGCATTAATATGTAAATATGATTTTTAGACGGTATCTTAGAGAAACATTAAAAATGGCAAATTCGGAAGACTTGAATAGACTCACTTCGTGTAGTCTTGTGCTTTTGGGACACATATTTCTTTCATTGGGAAATAGTAGAGAATCAATGAATATGGTTACACCTGCGATGCAATTAGCTTCTAAAATACCTGATGTACATGTACAATTGTGGGCTACTGCCATTCTTAAAGGTATGTATTTACATGTTTTGTGCATTGAAACAATTCAATCTTCTTCGATTAGTTATATACACATAATTGGTGTTACAGATTTGTATAGAATTTGCGGTGATCCTACTCGTGAAAGCGAAGCGTATCAAATGCATTGTACATTTTCCCAAACTCTTTTGAAGGACCATTTTCAGAGTACTCAAATGAGTGAGCATTCGCTTATTCATTGGACAGACGGTCCGGTGCCTGCGTTACCAACCAATCCACCACCGTCTACATCGCAAGCAATTCTCTAATAACATAAAAAAATATTTAAGTGTGTTTATTTACTTAAACTGTCCAGATTATCTGCTGAAGCCGTATATATTTGTATTACTTATTTATTGGGTTGTAAAGTGTGAAATTTGTTTCAGCATCATTCAATTTCAGATATTAAGATAATTATAATGAGTAATTTCAAAACATCAGATTTAATTGTGAATGATGAAGAAATGAAAGGATTATTGGATATTTGTGATATAATATCCATTTTTTTAAATACGATCTTTGCAAGAACATGGGGCAACTAGTTATAGCTGCAGAACTTGTGTGATAGTGTTTATAATAGTATTTCAGTTATCAAAATTATATGGCAGGGACTGATTATTACATTTAGATCATTGATATATTTTGTTTACTTCAAGTTTATATAATTTAATTTTTACATTACATTTTTTTTTATGGATTTATACTCTCTATAAGAGAGGGATACAAGTGATGATTATCAACATATGGATCAGATGCGTTTTTAAAATTATATGACTCGTTCTGCCGCACAATGTGTTTAAATAAGATTTGTACTGCATATATAAAAAGTATAGCTCATACAAAAATATAGAATAAAAACTTTTATTTTTGTTTAAAAGTTTCATCAATTTCAGATTTTCTCTGTATACTGTCAATCTACTGTGTTTAGCACGTTAGAATTGTAGCAAATAAAGATTAATATGTTAAGTTTTTAAATTTAAATTTATAATTACGATATCATAAAAATGAAAATCTTGCTGGAAGAAACACAATTAACTTTTAAATTCTTGCGAGTAAAGGAGATGGGGAACAAATATCAAAATTTAGATTAATTTTGTATATATTGGATTATAATTTATAGGTATAAAAGGGAGATGAAACTAAGTTAAACTTTCAGATTTGATAGATTATTTGAATGAATTATTAAAATGATTTTACTGGTTCTTTTTACATTTTCTTTTTTTAATGACCAAAGTAAACATTAATATAATTTGGCTGTGGACACAACAGAATAACAGTACGTTTATTAAATGACATAATAGAGAATGATAGGTACAAAAACTTGCAAATTGATGAAGCAATTTTTTTACCTATTATACATCTAAGATGTTTCAGTATATGTATTTTATTAAAATTATATATATAGTACGAATATGTAATAAAAATGTAATTGTTATTAGTATTAGTTACAGTAAATAAAAAAAGGGGCCTTAGAAAAAAATGTAACTTAAACGGCAAAGAATTTTTGCTTAAAATTCTTTGCTTTGTTTAAATTACTCAGAACATATTTTGTACATATTTTTAAAAGTAAAAAAATACATATGCAAATCCAATGGAAAAAAGAATGTAATAAAAATACAACTTTCTTTATTAAATATTTCACTGTTGTCACGACATAAAGACAGTACAAATCTCATGTTTTGTAGTTTGTTTCTTTATATATTAAGATTAAGCACTATATTAATAATGTATAGATGGTGCTACTGTTCAGATCATTTATATAATTAGAGTCCCTGAGATGTTATATATTACTTTCTTTTGGACAAAATAAAGGATATAGACATCAGTCTATAATGGGGAGATCTTTTTTGACAAAATAAAGAAATAAAATTTTGCACATTGCATACAAGTTTAATTATATGTACACTTGTCTCTTCTTATTATATAATATTAAAAAAAAAACTATCAAAATTGTTTGATTACTCGTTATTTTCTTACACAATTATGTACAATAAACTGAATATTATTCGATTTTATATTACATTATTTACAAAAATATTAGACATTAAAAAAAAAAATTTTATATGATTATAAAATCTTAGATAAAATAGAAAAAAACATTTTTAAAGTATATATCATATTTTCCTCAATTGTATAGTTTCTCTTATATTTAACAAATTGAAACATTTGATTTATTATATTAGAATATTAGATGTATCCCTTTTTTTATTTACATGTCCCCCAAAGTAAGAAGAATTGGTGTAATAAGAAATATCTTGACTAAATGTGATTTTATTTTATCAACCACATTTTTGGACATATAATTTTTCTATTACTTAATTATATATATCAATTATCTTATAATTTTTAAATTGTTTATACATTTATTATACACGCATAACTATCGACGTCACAGATATTGTATTTTATTTCCTGTACCAAATTTGTGAGGTTTGCATACGCTTTATCTTTTTCTGTAACTGTAGGATACCATATAATAATGCTTCAGCTGTTGGGGGACAACCTGCAATATTAAAGTTTTTAAAATAATAGTAAATAAATAAATAAAATAAATAGGAGCTGTGATCAATACAACTAAGTAAATAGATATAAGTTTACCAGGTACGTAAATGTCCACAGGTATAATTCTATCACAACCTCTGACCACAGAATAACTATAATGATAATATCCGCCTCCATTCGCGCAACTTCCCATCGAAATAACCCATCGTGGTTCAGGCATTTGATCATAGATCTTTCTCAAGGCAGGCGCCATTTTATTCGTTAGAGTACCAGCGACTATAACAACATCTGACTGTCGAGGAGAAGCACGGAATACAACGCCGAACCTGTCCATGTCATATCTAGGCGCTGCAATATGCATCATCTCTACAGCACAGCAGGCTAAACCAAAAGTCATTGGCCATATTGATCCCTTGCGACCCCAATTTAACAGATCGTCTACTCTAGCTAAGGCATACTCTGCCATATTATTGGGTCGAAACGGACTATAAGGCTCGACTTTAGATTTCTCTGGCAACGGAGTCTTTGCTTCCTGCACAGATGACTCTGTAGCCATATTTTTAGTCTGAATCTTTGCGGTAGCAGCCACGCATCCTGATGATGCTACATTGTTGCGCACTAGGGACAGTAATCCCTGTGGGACGTTATCTGTAAAAAAGAATCAAAGGAAAATAAAAAAAGATCAGTGTATCACTACATGTTTACATACTAAATTTGAGTTAGCTGCGTTTGTGGAATTTTATAAAAGTATTTTGAGAAAATGAATCATAACTATGTAAATAAACAAATACGCAGTAAGTTTTATGACATATGTCAGAATGTAATCTTATGCAATAACACGGTACTAAAAAGAAAAGTGTTTGAAAATTGAAATTTACTTCAAAATTATCAGTCATTCATCATCTAAATCAACGTAGCATTTTGTTCAATATAAGATTAAATACACATTACATATGCTTAATAATGCATGAGAATAGAATGTAAAAATATTTAATTGATAAGTATTTATATAATTTAAAGTAAAAAACTCACGTGTAACAGAACGAAACATTTTCGACTTCACGTCACGGAGACGTTCACTGTTCGCTACATCGCAATTGATATGCGAGCGCATGCGTTAATTACGATTAATACGTTTGTCATCCCGCCAATCGGAACAAAGAGATCAGTGCATTCCTTCTTTCTGATTGGTCAAGTTCAATGCATTCCCGATGCGATCGTGCGATATAGGCTGGTATTCATAGTCAGTTCTTAGGGTGCAAACCCATGCAGCGGAATAGCGTAACGCGGAACGAAAGCGGAACCAATCACGAACGTTCCGCAATTTCGTTCCGTTTTCAGTAGTTTCTAGCGGAATAGGTTTCGCAGATTGCGTAATGTACATACACATCTATACATATACACATGGTAGTAAAAGTTAACTTCAAAATTTTCCTTTATCTCGCAAAAATAAGAAATAACTTGTAATAATTAATAATTTATCTCTGTTTCTGTACTGACCACGTTGCTCTAAAGTGACGTGATTGAGAAACTCGCCGTGCACTAGCGCCCTATGGAAGAATATTGCCAGAGCGGTAAGAAGTCGAAGTAAGTGCTAGCCGCATCATATACACGGGACGAAAACTGCGGAAAAAAATATGTTTTAGTATGGTATGTTTAATATAAAATAATACAATGAATTCATATAATATACATATCATATATGTAATACGATGTGAAACTTGTATAGATACGGATGATATATATTTGATATCTTTGAAACATGCGTATTGGATTCGTTCATTCCCGCGTTATCTCCTTGTGAGTTGCGAGAAAGGAAGACTTAAATCAAATTGAAAAATTTGTTGAAAATATATTTCGAAACTTTCTTGAACCTTTGCGCATTTGGAAAATCTATTTTTACTGTTTTTATTACATCTAAATAATTACACATGTGTAATATAATATAATTATATCTAAAATAATTACATATAAATATTGGACTAGCCCATTTCTGCGTACTTTTCATACGATAAAGAAATTCGAGACTAAATAAAATTGAAAAATTTGTTGCAAATATATTTGAAACTTTCTTGGATCTTCGCGCATTTAAAAATTTTCAATGTTTCCATCATATTTAAACAATTACATGTGTAATATAATATAACGTAGATTTGCGCGGATGATATATTTGATATACTCGAAGCATATAAATATTGGACTCGTCTACTTCCGCGTACTTTTCGTACGAGAAAGGAATTTAAGACTAAATAAAGTTGAAAAATTTATTGCAAATATATTTGAAACTTTCTTGGATCTTCGCGCATTAAAAAATTTTCAATGTTTCCATCATATTTAAACAATTACATGTATATATAATATAACGTATATAGATTTGCGTGGATGATATATTTGATATACTCGAAGCATATAAATATTGGACTCGTCCATTTCCGCGTATTTTTCATAAGAGAAAGGAATTTAAGACTAAAAAAAATTGAAAAATTTGTTGGAAATATATATTTAAAACTGTCGGATCTTTGCGCATTTGAAAAAACTATTTTCAATGTTTCCATCATATTTAAACAATTACACGTGTAATATAACGTAGATTTGCGCGGATGATATATTTGATATACTCGAAACATGTAAATATTGGACTCGTCCATTTCCGCGTACTTTTCGTACGAGAAAGGAATTTAAGACTAAATAAAATTGGAAAATTTGTTAAAGATATATTTGAAACTTTTTTGGATTTTCGCGCATTTAAAAAACCATTTTCAATGTTCCCATGATATTTAAACAATTACATGTGTAATATAATATAACGTAGATTTGCGCGGATGATATATATTCGATATATTTAAAGCATAAATATTAGACTCGTCCATTTTCGCGCGCGTTCTTTTCCTACGAAAAAATGATTAAGATTAAATAAAAATAAGAAATTTGTTGAAAATATATTTGAAACTTTCTTGAATCCTTTCGTGCATTAAAAAAAAATATTTTTATTTTTTTCACATTGCATCCAAATAATAAAACTTTTCTTCTTTATATACATTATTTTTTTAACAGAAGGAAAGGAAAATTGTGCTTTCTCGCGATGGTTTTTGTAGAATATTTTTTTATTGGCTCAATTTTCCCGTTTTATACAAAACATCTAACAAACACAGATGCTTCCGGCTGAATTTACTTCGACCTGCCTTTACGAAAGCGGCTAATCTATCGATTTCGCATCTAATGCACTCGTGGGTCTCGCAAATTTCCGAAGGATACGCTAAATACAATGCGATTATCGGTTTGCGTCAACGGTGCTCAATGTGGATGCCTCTAATAGTTAATCTAAGGCTAACAATATATTCGTAGATGTAATAAAATGTGATATATGTATCTGTGTATATGTATGTATGTATTTGTATGTTTTTTCTTGTGTGTGTGTGTGTGTGTGTGTGTGTGTGTGTGTGTGATATTTAACAACTCTGCGCTAAAGTTTAGCCGCGGACGGGGATGTGTGGCTAGGCCATGGTAACCGATTTTACAATCTGCGTAACATTTTTCACTATATACAAAAACGGTTTCTAGATCAATTCATTTATCTTTTTCTTTTTTCGAACAGGACGAAGGACAGCTTTGTGTGTGCCATTGGGCTCTATCTCATCGTCAATAAGTATCGCGCGATCGCGAACTCGTCCTGCATCTGCAGTGCATCCACGTGTCCGATCTTGGAAGGACGATCTTATTGAGGATACGAAACGACGTGAGAGGCGGCGATGGTGACGCAAATGGTCTCGACAACATGATATGCCTTCGTAGAGATCTATTCAGCAAAAGGTTTGTCAACCGATTAATGCCTAGAATTTTTATAGATTAATTAACAACTTATTATATATTTATTATATATATATACCGCAACAACAACAAAGTTTCCTCCTCCATTTTCGTTGAATTTCATGCCCTGATGCTTGCTATTCAGCAAGTAACTGGATATTTTACAATCTTCTCGACTGTTTCTCTAAGAGAATCTCGCGGTTGTTGAGAGCATCTTGGTTCTCTCCTTTTTTCGCGATGATCAGATCGCGTGCGACTATGCCATCCGGATTCCATTATGGAGCGGTTGAGGATAATTCAATTTTGGCGTAGAATGCTGACGATACGAACGGAACATTTCTTTTGCTCTTTTTTTTTATGGTTCGATATATCTACGTCTCGCTATTTAAACTAGAAAAATATGCCATTTACTAAGGCATTGAATCGACGCGAAATTAAAATTATCGCGATGGATACATTCGAAAGTGCGTTTTGAAAAGAATTTATAATATAAAAATTGTACAACTTGTTGCAGACCAAGCCGTCGATGTGTTTTGACAAATTATTTATGATTAATTATCTAAAATCTTCATAACGATTTAATCAAAGTCTTTAAAATCAATAAAAACTTATATTTTCATTTATTTATTGAAGAAATAATAGTTCAGTTATACAATCTCTTTTCGTTCTGAAAATGATATTATTAAAGTTTTGAAATTGGCAAAAGTTATATTCTCATTTTTCCATTTAAAGACCAATATAATCTCTGTAATTTTTCATTTTATAAAATTATTCGTCCAAATTAGCGAAATTTGTATTTTTATTCCTTCTTCTCTTTTCGTAATCATTTGTAATATCTTTTAAAGAATTTAAAGCAACACAAATGGTTTTTGAGAATTTTTAGCGCTCTCATTATGGAATACTTTCATAAATCCTTTAAAAATATCCCGTATCTGTTTGTCTGTTTCATTTTGAAACCGAACCGAGCCGCGGTTCGATGCCCTGAGCTTAGGGAACGGTATATCGGAAGTATCTTCTAAATGAAATGTCTAAGATCTTGTGTCTGTGATGATTCATAAATTGTGCGCCTTTTCTTTCTTCCGA